AACACCCAGGTTACATGGATCTTTCTTTACAACATAAAAACTTGTCTGCTGAAGAATATTATCTAAATATTATACTGGTAAGTAGTTGGCATATCAGCCAGTATTTGGACTCAGCCCAAAATGAGTAGTTTTGTATTGTCTTAGCTCATTTCTTATATGTTAATATAGATGTATTATATATAATACACTTAACAATAAACTCTTACAACATTTTAAACATGGGATTTTAAAAATCACTCCTGATTTACACAAAAACATGAACTGGAAGATGGAATCTACACAGAGATAGGATATGGAGACAGACACACACATACATGTGTATGTGTATATATATAAGTTGTGCATTCTTCCATATTCTATGTATGCCATGCATAGACTCTTTATATAATAATATAGAATACATACTCTACATTTCATAAATCATTGCATATTAATACACAGAAATATGCCATTTCTTGCACGAAAAATTATTTGGATTTTTACACTGATTCTGTGTGCATTTGTACACATTTCTAGACAAGTTATCACCAAATTCTCTCCTTTGTATGATCATACAGCTTTTACTAATATCCTCTTCTCTGCTCCCAATTTAAAACATTGAAAATACCTATACAGTTGCGAAGATCTATGAATTTATATAGTATATACTCATTTCTCTTAAAACTACTATATTACAGTGATAAGGAGGATTTTTTTCCTAATTTTTCCTTTTTTAACTCTCTGCTTTGTTAGTGAAATGAAGTTCAACAATATTCAGATGAGCCACAATTCAGCTTGTCTTCTTTTCATAATTTTTTTTCTTCCTGACACCATGAACCTGCTGCTACTCTCATAAGATTTAAAGTTTATTTCTGTACACATTTTGCTTCTCATTTCTGTATGAATGGCTTCTATGTCTTGAGGGATAGAAATGTTATTTTCTGTGGCTTGAATTTAGACTTTTGAAGAATACCATAAGTATGGCATGTTACAAGGAGGAAGAATACTAAGAGGGTGTGAATTCCACCTTTACCTCTTGACTTTCAAATTGTCTTACAGTCCTGTAAACAATTATTCTTAAACAAAGGTCTCACTGCATTTTACAGTACTATACATAAAAAGAAACTAGTTGTGCAGCACAGCATGGTGTTATAAATGATACAACTGTATAACATTTTATGTACAGAAAGTAGATACAAAACTGTGCACAACATAAATGATATTCAATGAATGCATTAATTTTATTCTCTTATTCAAAGACAGAAAAACTTAATAAAATCTTTTTTAAGCTCTCATAAATGCACACTTGAGAAATGTAAAAGAAGTGTTAGAAAATTGTCTAATATTATTCTAGTGGGAAAAAAAAGAGACCTGCATGAAAAAAATCTCCACTCCAATGAAAGAAGGTTTAAGAAGAACAATGAAAAAATTTAAATTGGCCCAAAAGAAAGAAAATTGGAGCTGATATAATGGAGTTTTCTAACTTGAAGGACTTTATTAACAATAGCAATGAAATAGTACCTACACTGAAACTTTCGTAAGAATTAATTATTGGTCAGCTCTGTTTCCCTTAAGTTGCAAGATTCACGGGAAGAATAGTGCTCTTAAAATTGAGGTTAGGCATCTAAATAAAGCAATAATATTTTATTCTGTAACGTTCACAAAATCCTGACAGAACTGACGTCTGTAAGTGTCCAGAGCTGCTCAGCATCTACATTTTCTGCAAGTAATATTCCTTTAATGTCATTAGATACATGCTGAACAACCCATACTTTCAAAACACCATGAAAAGTATCAACTAACACTCTAAGCCCAGTGTACTTCACAGAATAATTTCACAGCCCTGTGTCTGGGTCCTGAAAGTATTGCCTATACTTAGCTGTCAATTAAAGACTGAATGGATTTAAATTATCCCTGTTAGAGGTTTGTTTGTGCTTCCATAGTTCATTTCAAAAATTAGTTACACACATGTTATTATTATATTATAATGAGTCATCTGTTAATTATTTTTGACATCTATGATAATAAAAATATACAAATGTTCCAGTTATTAATAGAATTGGCCTATCTTTATGCAACTCAAATTGCTATGATTGTTGGACAAATTGGCACCAGCTCACTCTTTCCTCTTTAAAGTGGTGCATTACTATTTGTATCTAAGTTACGTGAAGATGTAAACCCTGTAAGTCTGTCTTTAAGTAACTGCAGATAACCAGGGTTTAACTCACTTTACTTTAAAGCCTTTCACCAAAATGCATGACTACGCACACTATCAAAAATAATCTTCGACCGACCACATGCTGTGTAAGGGTACCAGTGAAATACTTCATAAACAGACAGAATGCAAACATGCACAAACACACTAACCACTAATGCCATAAACAACTTCAAGCACAGTACAAACAAAATGCATGCCAAGAAACCTGCTTGAAAATGTGTATTATAGAAAAATACACTTTCAATTTCTGAATGTTATTTGACTACTTATTACACAAAACCATAACTATGCAGTCCATGATGGCCCTTGAATTAAACTTCTGCCAAGTTCCAGAGACTGTTTATTATTCATTGTTCCTGGATGAATATATGTTATACATAATATTAAGAGTACCTCTTCTTTTCCTCCATGCATGTTACCTAATAAAAATAGGGAATATATACACGCTATATGCATATCACATTTAAAAAACCCCAGTAATTATTGGGGCAGAATTTGGATACTCAGCAAACACAACAATCTAAATTACAAAACTAATTTACACCTGATAAAAATCCACACCCTTCACCACCACTTTGAATCTGTAAGTACATTCACTTCTATAGAGAATTTAAATATAAGAGTTTCTTCCTTATTGGCCTGATTACAGTGCAATCACGTCAAAACCAGTTGAAGCCTCACAATGGCATCACAAAGTACCCAACATGGTAAGAGGCTGCCAAGTGAAACCCTAAGCCTACCCTTGGCAGGCAGACTGGCTGCAGACAAATCTGATTGGGATATATGTTAGTGGAAAAAAGAGAAGGTCGCTATTAAATAAGAAATACAGAAAAAAAGTCAGAGCCCAGAACCCATCCCTTAGGACTTGGGTATCAGTTCCCAGCACTGGAATTTAGTCTGAGGTTCCTCCCCTCCAATCTGTTCTGGGAGAGATTGTGAGTTAGGATCAATTTTACACCCAGTTTAAGACAGAAGTGACAAAAGACATAATTTAACAAAAATTACTCCCAGATTCTTCCTACATATTTTTACTACTGATACGAAAAACAGCAACAGTGTTGTGCCAGGCTGTGCAGCATGTTTACTGAATGGTCAAACATGCAATGAACAACTCTAGTCTTTTTTTGCTGAAGCTCTGACTTTGATTCTTTTCCTTCTCACACAGGTATTTATGTTCAAAAAACCTGCATGAATATTGTGATCTCCAGTCCTTTGAAAAATTTTTACATTGACCAAAAATTTACAGGAAAGACTGGCAGAAGAGGGAAGATAAAAAGATGGTTTGGTTTGCTAAGGCTAAATCCACTCTTAAAATGCCCAGCCAAGCACAGAACATCCAGGTAGAGTTCATTGAGAATCAGAAGCGAAGAGAATGAGCTGATTGGTAAGAGGTGCTGAAGGCACCACACAAATGTGATTCCAGGCAGAACACAAATATGAGTGCTGGTTTGCTGGGCTTATCAATGGTTACAAAGAAATACTGGGGTAAATCTTTCATGGCATGTCTAGGCTTCCACTCCAATTCAGGTAGGTTTAAGAATCACAATGAAAAAATATAAATGGTCTCAAAGTGAGCTGGAATTAGAAAATTACTAAATTAAACTGAACAAATTTCGCTGATGACTAAAAAGATCACAGTGTGGGCACTGATTTATCTGTTCTGATGATTCATACTGAGGAAATTTAACCAGGTGTTCATCCAGGCAGAAGAATTCACTATTGCTGTGGCAGAGAGAGGATGTTCACTCTCCAGATGCTGCTGTTTATAACACAGCATAATAAAATAAATGCAATTAGTGGTCTTCCAAAGTAACACAGAATTTTACACCCCCGATTGGCTGAAAGGTGATACCTCATCTCTTCATCCATACTGTCCAGCAAGAAGAATTATCCTCAGGACAAGTATCATTTAAATTCAGCAAATACCATGAATCTTCATTACCAAATCACACTGATTAAACAAATCAAATTCTAAATTCATTTAAATGGGCATAACTTTTACACAGCAGCTCAGAGCTCAGTGCTCAAAAAAGAGCCACTTGTTAATTAATTTACTGTTCTTTATTTTTAATCCTCTTGGTAGTAGAATTCTGGCACATGATTTTTGTGGTTTTTTGCTTCCTCAGACATAAGGAAGTTGCTAGAGATATGGTTATTACATTCTTTGGTTTTCTTAAGTGGTGAGTTACTTGCCTAAATTCTTTTGTAGAAACAATCCTCTCTTGTTGCATTGAAATAACTTTGCATTAAATTAAAAGAAAATTAACAAGTTAAAGCTCTGGCTTTGGCATGGGCGAGTATTATTTGCCTGAAACCATACATGATCTGGAAAGTTTTGGCTGTGGTGGTGCAAATCCCTTGACACAACTTCAGGCTTTAGGTCAGTGGGGAATATTCAAGTCCTTCCCTGATAACTGAGCATGACTTGGTGATTAAAGATGTCAGGCGACCTAACATCTCTGGAGGTCAGCTACAGAAAAGTCATGGCCAGAAGCCTTTAAACCCATATACCTGTCTGTGTGTTTGTTAATGTCATTGGTAGTGGGAAATGTAGTATAAAGTTTAAAAAAATAACGCCCTATATTTTAAACTGGATTTATAAAGTCCAAATGTTTACTTAGAAATTAAACATTTTGGTACTGGGGCCTCTAGGATATGTTGGCAGTGGAAAAACTAACCTACACCAGATGGCAGAGGTTAAAGAAATACTATAAAATATGGCTTCTATTCATACGGTTCTCAGACAAACAGAACCCCAAGCAGAAAAAAACTGTGAAAGTGGAAAACCTTTTCATTTGCTTACATTTCTCTTTGCTACTCAGCAAACCTGAGAGGTATTGTATCATCACGTATCAAGGAAGTAATATGCCAGATTGTTGTAACAGGTGGAATATGTTTGTTTGTAACACGTTGAATCTGAAATAAAGAAAGGACCAAAGTTACGAAAGGTTTTTACAAAAACATTTACAAAATGCAAGTACCTCAGTTTTTTACCTTCAAAGCTTACAGCTAAGTGACAATTTGAGACAACAGCTGCATTTTTGTACACAAAATATAAAAATTATGCTCTAAAATTTTCATAGATTCAGTTAATTTGGCTAGATGAACACATAAACTAAGGATGTAATTCTGCACTAGTGATTTTAATTAAACATTTCACGAGAGTGTATTTTTTATCTATATTTTATTCTATTTTACCTAAACTACATAATCTCTAAATTGCATCTTTATTTTTTTGTTTCTAAAGCTTCTTAAAATCACAACTGTTTTATAATTTCAATGTATTTACATAGCATTTCGTTAAAACTATCATGTCTATACAATAAATGCATTCTTATAATAGAAATACTTCTTGTACAATTTTTGTCAGTTCAAAAAATCCACTGTGAACCCAAATCTGTAAAGCAAAATGTGTGATATAACCCATTTTCTTATTACATATGTAGTCATATGATGTTTTAAAAAAAAGAGAGAAAAAAAATGATGTGAACTTGGGCACAATGGACCATGCTGTCAAAAATATTCAGTTGTCAAAAATGCAGATGGCATAAAAACACAGAAACAGATCAGTTATTGGAGGGGGGGTGCCAGTTTAATAGAAACGATTGCATTGATTTTTTAAAATTGATTATGTGCCTAAATATGTGTGTGGGTATCCAGTAAGGTCTTCAAGGATACCTAAATGTTCTTTAAAAAAAACGCATTTATGTGAATAGTTAGGTAATTAATACCTTGAGAGACAAGGTCCAATGCCCAAGATAGAAATAAATGTTTTCCCACATAAACAGTGGTCAAAAAAGAAAAGAACAAGGTGTCTGAGAAGGAAAAAGCTCCCTGATGACTTGTCCTTTACCCTTAAAAAAAAAGGAAAAAAGAAAGAAAAAAATGAAAATAGAGCAGAAGCAAATGAAAAGCTTTGCACAATGAAAACAACTACCGAGCAGTTCTTGGGAACATTCATAGAGTTCATTTGCAGAGCCTGAACTCCAAGCCATTACTAATGAAACAGCACTACTAAGGGCATTCAAAAGCATGATTAAGGTCTGTAACAAGCTACCTGGCCAATCTCAAAGAGTTCAGCTGGAGGCAGGCTCTGCCTTCTCCTTTCTGACTCGTTCCCCTGAGACAGAGAGAAATCTTGAAATACAGAACATACTCACAACTACTGTGACTGTTCCCTCCTTCTGCCCACCCTATTTTTGCCCCTTTTGCCTGTAAGACTAGTGGCATTTTGGTGCGAATACAAAGCCTCCTTGCAATGGATATAGAGTCAAGTGTTCATAATAAACTCATCTCTTATTGCTAGGCAACACTGAGCAATGTGAATTTGTCACTTCTGTTTGGTGCAACTTTCAATTTCACCTCCAACTGTAACAATATAGCCTGCTATATTTTAGATGCCACTGTGGTTGGATGCCATCCCAGGAAAGATGTGAACTACTACTGACAGGGAGTGAATGACTGGCAATGGGCATAAGCAGTTTTTTTGATTCTTAAGCCTTGACATATAATTAATTGCTAGATTTATTCTTCTAAGAAATTCATACTTCGTGATTCCTATTTACTGTCTGCCTTTTAGAAAAGGCAAATGGAACAAATAAATTTCCAGTTAGGGAAAGTTTTGTTTGCCTGTCTAGCTTTTTTTCATGTGATATTTGTTCTGTTCATATTTTTCTACTTTGACTGTCTTTTTGAGGAGTGGCTATAAGCAAAATTCAAATCTTAAGCACTCTCAATCCCTCATTATTTCCAAGGCACATCCAATTATGTGTTTGAATCAATACATTTCTTACTGCTGAATACTCCCCTTGCATCTAACACCACCCATTCTCAAGGAGCTCAGATTATTGCAAAATGAATATTATAGCCACAATCTTCTCAATCTGACGCCAAACTTCCCTTCCAATATAAAATAAGATTAATTCTATTACATGCTATCTAGGCTTCTTTTATTTTTATTACAGGACTGATAATTTTGTTTTTAAAACCTTGGTGTGATTGTCTGATCCGGCCATGAGGTCTCAGCTCTTTGATCTTTAAAGAGTTAGGTCTGTTTGAAGGGCAAAAAAGGGAAAACTGAACACTGATATTGCTTCACCACCTTTTCTAAGACATAACTTGAAAAAAAGGACAAATTTATACTTCAAAGAAAATACATGTCTTCTAAAAAATCATCATCAACAGTCATTTCTCTAAATGTTTTGAAACACTTCACAACTACATTAACTACAGAAATATGCCAAACAACTGAGAATCTTTGTAATATTTTAGTCTTTGCATATTTTCACTGACTCACTAAAAACAAAAGGAGTTTCTGTAACTGTATGAATGAACCATGGCATGTGCATGTTCTTTTAAGAAAGGCCAAGGGTGCAGTTCTATTTTCTTAGCTCTGCTTTCATATTTATGTGTCTCATTTCCAGCTCATTGCTGATGCCTTAGTTGCACTATCCATCAACACTTTTATCCTCCTTGTTCCTCAAAAAGAACATAAAATCCTTTTTTATGTCGTGGTAATATTATTGCAAATAAAAGCAAATACCAAAATCTTTATTAGTCTGCCAAAATAATAAACTATTTAATAAAAGCATGCTGTAAAAATAAGGTCATTTGCATCACTCAAGTTTCTTGCAGAAAATACAGAGAATTATTGGTCAAAAAGTACAAACTGACAGCAATTATTTCTGCTGTTGATCTAATGCTGCCTGGAAATGGGTTAAAAAATGCACTGAGGTTTCACAAGTTTTCTATCTTTAAATGTTTGCTTTTAATGCTGTAGTATGCATAAGAGCCTGGGAGAATCAAATTTTTCAAAGCTGTTTTTTGCCAATTTTATCCATAATGGAAGGAGGAGAGACTGGATATATCCTATTAGAAATCTTTAATGCAAAGCTCATAGTAACCTTCTGCCTCCTAGACTGCCACAAGATTTATCATTCAAATATTTACCATTTTTATACTCCTTATTAATTGTGTTTGGTTAGGATTTGTGTCAGCTTTAGCTGTATGGTTTTCTTTCACCTTTTCCTTTGCTATCCTTGCAGAAGAGAGATCAATGAAAAGCTTCTATTTAAGAAGTTTGTTTAATGTTTAAAGTTCCTCATGCTGTTAAAATAATGTATCTAATGTCTGAATCTTTTTTTCCTGTACTACAAACCTCACCATTATTTTCTCACTGCAGTTTCTCTCCCCATCTGGTAGTTTTGCAAATATGTTATTTGATAAAGCATAGAGAAATCAGCATCCGTGAGATTTAAATAATGCTTCTGATGTCCCTGTCTACTTTCCCAGAAGAACCTCTATATAAACATAGAAAATAAGCTAATCTTATAAATTTATATAACTATAAATTATCTCATTCAGTACACAGAGTATTTCCCTTAATTGCCATAATCTAAATTATAAGAATGATTTTTAGAGCAACAGAGTTAAAAGGTTTATGAAAAGACTCTTTTAAAAATACTACAATGATGTTTTGTATCTTACTCAGCTGTAAACTCCCGAAACTCTCAAAATACTCTATAAGGTATAGCTATGTCACTTTATACAGAGAGAAACTGAAACAAAGAGCAGCTGAAGTAGCAAGAACGATTGAGCAACAACCAACAAGTTATTGACCAGGGAATAAAATTTCAAGATTCAGATCACTGATGCTGTCTCAGTATTTTTGGGCTCTATTGCCCCATCTTCTTAAGTGCAATAGAGATGCTCCACTTTGTGAGAGGATGAGGCCTGTATAGAGATGAAATATTTTGAAAATACATTATATATATTGAAATAAGTACTTCATGGAGCTCTGTTAGTATATTCAATCATGCTTTAAACCATAAAGCAGCCAGGAGTTATTCTCCTTGCTTCACAGACTGCACACTGCTGAAAGCTGAATTAACTCCTCTATGAAATAATGTTTAGAATATCACATGATACATGCAGGGTAGATAAAAGAATGCATGTGAGGAAGAGTGCTTTTATTTTTTTTTAAATTTTGAAGTTGTGGGAATTTAGTATTAGCATCTATTTGTATGCTCAGTCAAGGTTAGTTTTTGTCTTGCTAACACCTGAGCCAGGTTACACACCAGGTAACTCATATGTAGCTGAATCAGTCATTTCCAAAGTTTACTTGTTTGGGTATTGCACACAGTAACAGCAGTTGCTGAACTAACAGCTCTCAGATATATGCAGGACTGTGTACTTCAGGAGGAAGGTTTCCAAGTCTTATGATAACCATACAATTGAACAAACAGAATACGTACAAGAGCTTCAGTAAGCAGTGTTATAATTTAAATTAAAAGCATTTGCATTGTATGTGCCTGGTATTTATTGGGCTTGCTATGCTATGTATACATCATTAAGACAGATGGGATTTTAAAGACTTAGATAATTATACGAATGTTAATTAGAGCTTTGTCTATTCAGGCTAAGAGATGCAAATAAAGATATCACAAAATCACATCTTTCAGAATATGATATCTTGTATTACCTGTAAAACTCAGCAGATATGCAAGGGTCTTTTACAGATTATTTCTGAGCTGTGTTCTATATACAAGAAAATTAAGTAAAATGTCAGTAGTAAAACAAACCAGTGTAAGATTCCCACAGACAAAAAATTTGTGACTTAAAAAGACTATAGATTACTAAAATTCCCTTCAATTTTTTTTTAAAAAACCCACAAGCCCACAAAACAAAAAACCCAAACCCAAATAAACAGGCAATGGTGCCTTGTAAATTGAAATTAATGTTCACACAGCAAAAAACAGGGAGAGTCCTCTGGGTTAGTGGCATAGTTGACTATGGACAGAGAATCTGTGAAGTGAACCAGAAGTTCACAAAACTGCCTTTCAGTCTTTGCAGATGGATGGTAAACTTTTGCTCTTCTCAGCCCATATTCCTGAAGTTGTAATGATTTTTTTAAGATTACTGCAGAAAAACAATGACTGCAAAACTGTTTTGAAAATCATAATGCTTGCATGAAGACCAGAGAGCAGGTGTCCTGGTTTCTGTCATTGTGCAATTTCTCAGGCATTACAGAACCAATGGGAAAACCACAAGAGATCTTTTTGTTCAAAACCAGTTCTTATCAATATAGTAATCAGAAGTACCTTTCAGACTCTTGAAAAGTATTTCTTTACTTCAAAGCTTAAACAACATCAAAGAAAGCATACAGACAAAGCAATGTTGGAAAGGAAGTAACATGCCCTTATTTTTAGCACTTGCCCACTTGTCACTCTTAAACTCTCATCTGCCTTTCAAATGTAGTGTAATCTAATTTTTATGCATACTGTATGCTCATACAGACAATTTCCTCATTTCAGAGTGTTTTGAGTTTGGTAAAGGTTTTTGTACTTTTCCTTAACCTATTTCAGAAATAGCACTGTCACCATTTGTCTCAGTAACTTATAGGATGATGAAAATTGACATTTTTCTATATAGAAGTGAAAAGAATATTAGTTTTATCAAAGACTAGATGCCTTCTTCCCCTCCAGTTAGATGTGAATTTGGGCACTTCAGGGCTTAGTGTGTAGGATGATTTTAAGCAATGGTCCCTGTGGTTGCAGGCTCTATCACCTAATAATTGACCATGACAGGAATTGTATGTCCAAAGCCAAGGGGTAGAGTGAATAGCATATGTCAGGGTCAATTAGAAGGTGGAAGACCCTGTGACAAAAAAGACTGCACTGATTAGAGCATGATGTTGACATGGGAGCTGAAGCTTCAATGTTATTTCAAAGGGCACTGTCACAGCCACCTTCCTTCAGGACTCAAAATCAGAGGCAGATTATGTCAAGTGGTTTATACTACACATGATGTCATACAGTTCAATAGGACATTGAAAAAACTGATTTGCTGCTTCTTTTCAGCAATGAAATGCTTTCTCTGTATCACTCAAAATTAAGCTCCCTACTTTGCTAATTAGGTCAAAACAGCTCCATACTTACTAGATTAATTCTCTCTTGAAAAATTTAACTGTAAGAAGAAGAGTATTAAATGCGACACATTAAAATCTGCTTTGATTGTTAAAGCTATTAATGGTATTTTTACTGACAAAATTGAACAAATAGGAAGAGTGGAATGAAAAGAAAATAGTCCTTTTTATTACTTACAACTCTGTTATAAATATTTTATGGTACAGGAAGATTTTTGCAATGAAACAAATGGGCCAAAAAACTTGCTGTTTGCTTATTCCCCTGAAACTTCACC